CACCCACAGTTCAGCCATGGTAGCCAGTGGTCTTTGTGTATTGCCCTTGAACACAAAGGTCCCAGGAGATGCACAGATCTCCATGGGCTTGACTCTTCCTTAGTCACTCCACAGCTTCAGAGAGCCTGTTATCCAGACCCTGGCTATCTATTCCACCCTTTACATCCTCTGTCTGCCCAAGAGCCAGTGAAACAGCAGTTAGACGGTCCAGCCCATGCTTCCTGGGTTTGCAGCTCTCTTGGTGAGGTCAGTATCTGCTTTCTTCAACACCACATGGCAAAGTGATGGCAAAGGCCCACCCGTCCATGCTGGTGTTCGGTACTCACCAATGTGCTAGAACTTCTCAGGGGTCACAGAGATTTAGCGGAGGTGCCAGCAATGGGGTGCAGCCCGCTTGCAGAAGCAGAGCTAATATGTCCTAAGGCCATACTCTATTCTAGGCATTACTTTAAACAGTCATTAACTATTGTTAAATCCACTCACTACATTTTATCACGATTGTTAGGGCCACTGTTAGCATTTTAGTGTATTTCCCTCCAGTGTTTTCCCCTATGGAAATATGCTATATGTTAAGTCTTTGCTTTGCTTTTGTTTTGTTTTGGAGCTACTGGGGTCTGAACTCAGGCCCTTGTGCTTGGTAGGCAGGCACTCTACCACTTGAACCACGCCCCTAACCTTCTTTTGCTTATTTTCTTTTTTTTTGGGTAGGGTCTTGACAAATATGGAAATAAAAAGAATTAGGAATATGAAATATGGGAATATCAAAGAGTTAGAAGTTATAAAAAGGAGCCAAACAAAATTTTGAGCTGAAAAATACAATAACCACATGGAAAAATTCAATTCAGGAGTTTAACAGCTGATGTGAGGGGTAGAACAATCAGCAAACTAAAAAAGAAGACATTTGAAATTATTGAGTTTGAGGAACAGTACCACAAAAAAGAAAGAATGAATGAAGAGAGGTAGGTAAATAGACACCATCCTTATAGGACCATCAATATGGGACACCATCAGTACAGAACCAATATACAGAGTACAGTAATTCTAGAATGAGAAGAGAGAGAAAAAGGGGCAGAGACCTTTTATTTTATTTTTATTTATTTTTGGGGGGAGTGGTATTAGAGTTTGAACTCAGGACTGTGCACTTGGATAGCAGGCACTCTACTGCTTGAGCCACACCTCCAGTCCATTGTGCTCTGGTTATTTTGGAGATGGGGTCTTGGAAACTATTTGCCCAGGCTGGCCTCAAACCACAATCCTCCCTATCTCAGCCTCCCGAGTAACTAGGATTATAGGCATGAGCCTTTTATTTTTCTTTTTTGCCTTTATTTATTTATTTATTTATTTATTTTTGGCAGTACTGGGGTTTGAATTCGAGGACATTAGTTCAAGCAGGTACTCTACCACTTGAACCATGCCCTAACTCCAGAGGCAGAGACTTTTTGAGGAATAATGGCTGGAAATTTCTAAATTTGAGGAAGATATGAATCTACAAATCTAAGAACTAAGAAGAGATCTAAGAACTCAAAGCCATATAAAGATTTCCAACAAAGGTAAATCCCTAAGCAAATATGATTGTAATTTCAATTTATAGCTCTACTTTTTATTTATTATCTACAGGATTTAAAAGGGAAATGCATTCAAAATTTATTCTAAATCTATATTAATAAGTATATGAGATAACACATAAAGATGTAATCTGTAACATCAATAACATAGATTGAGGAGGTAGAGCTGTAAGAGATTATAGAATTTTTACATGCAGATGAGTCACACTAGTATCAATTCAAAAAAGACTGTTATGTCAGGTATGGCAGTACATATCTGTAGCTCCAGCTATTCAGGAGGCTGAGGCCAGGAGGATCATTTGTGCACAGGAGTTCAGGGACAGCCTGGGCAACAAATCAGGACCCAGTCTCTCTAAATAATAATAATAATAATAAATTAAATTAAAATTTCAGAATAAAATAAGATTTTAAAATTATGATCTGGAGCCAGGTGGGGTGGTTCATGCCTATTATCTCAGCACTCAGGAGGCTGAGGATTGAGATTTTTAGGCCAGCGTGGGTTACCCTGTCTCAAAAAACAAAAAAACAAAAAACTAGGGCTGGCAGAGTGACTCAAGTAGTAGAGCACCTACCTAGCACGTGTGAAGCCCAGAGTTCAAACCCCAGTACCACCAAAAAAACAGAACTCACCAAGAAGATATAACTGTTATAAGCTTATATGCACCAAACAGTATAGCTCTGAAACACATGAAGCAAAGACAGAAAGAAGAAATAGGCAGCTCTACAGTAAGGAGGCTTCAATATCCTACACTTATAGGAACACCAGACAGAAGATCAGTAAGGAAATAGGGGACTTGAAAATAGGGGACATGCAAAGAACATGCCAGCCAATAGCAGAAGAGATCCTTTTGTCAAGAGAATACTCTGCAGAAAGAACCATATGTTAGGCCATAAAATAAATTTTAATAAGTTTTAAGGGACTAAAGTCATACCAAGTATCTCTTTCCAATCACAATGGAATTTGAAATCAACAGAAAAAGTAAAACTGGAAAATTCACAAATGTATGGAAATTAAACAACACACTCCTAAACACCAAAGAGTCAAACAAGAAAAACATCAACAGACTGATACTTTCAGGGCCTCATGACGTTCTGCCACCTGAAAAAAAACAGCAGTGCCCCAGTAGTAAGATTCTCCTGAGGCTGAGCATCCATGGAGCTTAATGCCTGATGGTAGCAATGAACTTGAGCTGAGCCTCTGACATGTCCCCCCCCTCCAAGTCCTTTCAATCACAAGCCCCACCTGAGTAGGACTATGTGAGAAGCAATAATGACCTTGGATTGTCATGCTGCCTGGTACCACATTCAGGCTCTGCCACTTGCGGAGTCACCAAAACATAATGTGATCAAGAAATCTGTATTTGCTGTTATGAGCTACTGATGTTTGTAGATTGTGTGCTATAAAACACATCCTAGCAAAAGATGGTTCAAACAAAACCCATCAGCAAATATCTTATCCCTCTTCTGTCAAACTCACTCCAGCTCCTATAAACCTTCTTTTTACTAAAGACATGATCACGTACCTAATGATATTCATATCCTGCCCAGTTAGAATCTTCATTATCATCTGTGACTCCTCATTCACTTCCTCTCCTTCCATTAATCACCAACTCCCCCACTCCCACATACAAACATAACTGACAAAACTCTACTCTTTCAACTGCTGCCCAACTTACTCGCTTCCCTCAACCAATCCATCCTCCACATTGCCACACTCATGATTCTACCACATCCACAGGATCACGCCACTCATGCCTGTAATCCTAGCTACTCAGAAGGCAGACATCGGGAAGATCATGGTTTGAGGACAAGCCAGGGCAAAAAGTCTACAATACGCCATCTCAACCAATAAAAGCTGGGCTTGATGTCATGCACCTGTCATCCTGGCTATGCAGGAAGTATAAATAGGACAATGGTGGTCCAGGCCAGCCCAGGTATAAAGCAAGACCCTATCTCAGAAATAACCAAAGCAAAAAGGGCTGAGTCATGGCTCAGGTGGTAGAGCGCCTGCTTAGCAAGTGCAAGGCCCTGAGTTCAAACCCCAGCACTGTCCACTGTGATAGTGGACAGTCTGTAAAATTAAATCTGAATGTGGCTTGCAAGGCCCTTTTCTACCTGGCCCCATAATCAATCCCATCTCCAGACACTAATCCATGAATGCCTGCCCATGACTTCCAAATCCTCACATCCACTATACAATTTTTATTTATTTTTGAGACAGAATCTTGCTACATTCCCCAGGCTGACCTTGATCTCCTGAGCTCAGAGATTGTCCTTCCTCAGCCTCCTGAGTGCTGGGACCACAGGTAGGCACCATCTCACCCAGGTTATACACTTTAAGTTTTTGTTGGTTTTTCGGTGTTGAAGATTGAACCAAGGGCCTTTGCACACTAGGCAAGTTCCCTACCACTGAGCTACATCCCCAGCACTTCACACACTTGAATAACCTAAGTTCAAGTATCTATGTTCTTGTAACTCTCTTAGTTTGTATAGTTCTTTCCCAACCAAGATCCATCTCATCAATTACTTCCTATCTGTAGTTTTCTGTGATGGCCTTTTCAAGCTTGAAACACCACTCATCACTGGCACTACCATTACCTGCTTCCTTGCTCATCTTCCTCACAAAATTCTGAGTTCCATTCCTACACATCTATACCAAATACCTAAAACAGTGCCTAGACTTCAGTAACCACTTAAATGAGTTAAACGTTCTGCCCAACTAATTGTGTGCTGTTCGCACAGTTTAGATGTTAACTGTGTAAGTTTAGAAACCATGGGACAAACTGAAATTTTCCAGCTCTCATTTCACAAGCTATGAGTTGCTTCTTTGATCTTGTGAAACCTTCCAATTCCAATAAAATTCATTTAAAGATTCTGTGGAATATGTATTTTCTATTAATAGAACAATTTAAAGACTGGTGAGCACAGCCCCGTGTTAGCTGTGCTAGGCAGGTGGTTCCCAAATCTTGCTGCCACTAGTCCCTTAAAGACTTTATTAACGCTGTAAACACCAGGACCCCACCCTAGAGTGCGCAGAGTAGGGCTCGGGCAACTGCATAAGCAACAAGCTCCCAGGTGACAGGTTTTGAGAACCACTGATTTCAAAGACACAAAATGCACGGCCAGTGTGTGAACTAAAAGTGATCTAAGGTTTGATTGCAACGATTTTCTACTGCAAACTTCACAGCACCCTAGTGCGTCCCAGAATCATGACTGAAACTCCAGAGAAAAAAACAGGATCGGGGTCATGGCTCAAGTGGCGGCAATAAGAGGCCCCAAGTTCAATCCCCACTACCGCAAGAAAAAGACGAAAACAGATGGGAAGAGCAGCGGTTCCAGTGCGTCCTCCTCCAGCAGCTGCCTACCCTCAGCCAGCGCCGAGTCCCGCCGATCCGGCATGGGCGGACAAACCCCCGGAGCGCGCCCCCAGCCTACCTGGTAGATGGCCGAGCCCGAGTTCAGCTGGGTGCCCAGCGCAGCCACCGAATCCCCGTGATAGGCGCGCAACCCGGGGACCGCGGCGCGCGCGCAGGGCCGCAGAGCTGACCTCAGGGCAGCCCACATGGCGGCGGGAACCAAGTAAGGGAGAAGAGGAGGCGCCCCGCGTCCGCCCGCTGCCGGCTCTCCCCTGGACTGCTCGCCTGCCTAGCACTACAGCACCCCTTCAGTCCCGGCAGCCCCGGCTGAGGCCCCGCAGGTTATCGGGCCAGCCATGCACGTGCCTGCGCCGGCCGCTCCCCATTGGTCGACAGCGCGTGCCACGCCTCCCAATCCAGCCAATAAGAACAGAAGCGCAACCCCGCGAGGCCTGGTGCGCTCGCGAGCTCAGGAAAGCTGAGCAGAATTTTGCAGTGCTGAGTTAAAAGGGCTGTAGTTGAGTTTGTGATTGTGCTATTCACGTAACAATCGATACAATCACGATAGTGGCAACATTGACAACACAGGTGTATCTCACCTATCATAGGACTGCAGACGCATAACAAGCCTCTAGCCCTTTCCCTGGAGATCTTAAACACGTCTGATTATTTTCAATATGAAATAGATTGTGGACATCAGCGTTGTGATCGTAAATAAAGGACCGTAAACTACTCATAAAAATTTAAAATATAAACAAAATGTGAACTTAAGTTTTTCATTTAAATATAGGTTGCTCAAAATTAGAAATAAGGGCAAAATAGTTTCTGCTGGGTATCGAGGGGGTGGGGAGGAGAGGAAGGGGGTGGAGTGGGTGGTAAGGGAGGGGGTGGGGGCAGGGGGGGGAGAAATGACCCAAGCCTTGTATGCACATATGAATAATAAAAGAAAAAAAAGAAAAATAAATAAATATAGGTTGCTTTGGGGAGGCAGAATAAAGGGTAAGGAACACAAAAAGTATGAGTAGGGTAGAGATAGGGTGCCGCCCCCGCCCCCGTCCCCGCCCGCAAGGAAGTATACTTAGTTCCAGAATTCAAGGTGCTTATAAGAAAATTATGCAAATGACCACAAAATGCTGGAATGAGTAGGACATACACCAAAGGAACAGAATATATTCGGGAAAAGGCTGTCGCAGCAAAGCTTTCCAGAACCACTGAGTGTGGACTAAGAAGCTTGGCCAGGCTTGCTTAGTAAAAATGGAGACGAGCCTGGGCAAAGCACAAGGGGAGGAGCTAAAAGAGAAAGATTGTATTTACAATGCGTGCCTCCCGTGGTCAACAGAAAAACAGTAAAGACAGTCTTCAAAGCTATCGAGGTGATGGAATGACCTTGACATTTAAATTGCCACATTTTTGTCCAAATAGCTCTTCAATGACTCAAAATACTTAAAATCATCTTCCAAAGATAGAAAGCAGAATTGGAGTTAATTTTTTTCTTTCTTTAAATCATACATGTTTCTTATTTCTTGTAACTTTTGTTACAAGAAACGCTTTGGACACTGAACAATGTTCCCAAAACAAGTAGGAAAGTGCAGAAAGTCAAGTGACAACAAAGCCACCTAACATCTGTTAATGTCTGATGTTCTCACTAGTGGAACATTTTACATTTATGCTTAAAGGGAACGATTTGCATTTGCTACCTGATTTTTTTTTTTTTTTTTTTTTTTTTTTGGTACTGGGGTTTGAATTCGGGCGCTCTAGCACTTGAATCACTCCTCCAGCCCTTGAATCACTCCTCCAGCCCTTTTTGTACTGGGTATTTTCGATATAGGGTCTCTTGAACTATTTGCCCTGGCTGGCTTCTAACCCTGATCATCCTGCTCTCTGTCGCCTGAGTAGCTAGGATTACAGACATGAGCCATCCGTACCTGGCTTGCTACCGATTTTTTAAAGAAACTTTTATACCACAAAATAAGAAAATGCATTGAATTTTAGCCCTCAGGGCCCACCTCTTCAGAGTCAGGGCTGCTTTTACCTTCTCACTCTCATCCCCCCGCTGCCCATGGCACTTTCTCACCACCACACACCTGCCTGTTCTGACTTCACCTGATGAGCTAATACACATCATTCAACACCTGGCTCAGGCCAGGCACTGGTGGCTCACACCTGTAATCCTAACTACTCAGGAAGCAGAGATCAGGAGAATCATGGTTAGAAGCCAGCCCTGGGCAAATAGTTCATGAGACCCTATCTCAAAAATACCCAATACACAAAAAGGCTGGTGGAGTGGCTCGGGAGGTATAGCACATGCCTAGCAAGAATGAAGCCCTTGAGTTCAAACCCCAGTACTACCACACCAAAAAAAAGGGGGGAGAGGGAGATATTGCATGGCTTCCTTTGGGGAAAATGATTTCCACACCAGACAAGTACACACCCTATTTTTACATTTAGTTTGATCCACTTATATGTTTCCCTTGATCTAACTCCCTTAATCCATCACATCCCCTAACACCTACCAATATAAATTGGCAAGACTCTCTTTCTAGGCTGTATTCAATAACTTTTGGGTTAAGGTATAATAACTAACTCCTCTTAAGATCTAGAAGCAAGCAGGTATGGTAGGGTGTGTCCCAAAAAGAACTGGTATCAACCCAAATGGCAAATGCCTCTGATGAAGTCACTGGTTGACTTTTAAATGAGGGCAGGCTACATAGGAAAGGGACTGTCCTTATCAGATTATACTGTACATTTAAGAGGCACCCCAACTCTATAATTCTTACTGTCAGGCCTTAGCTTTCTCCTCAGCTAAACTGCCTTGCAGCTACAGAAGATAATGGGCTCAAAACTTTGATAAAGGCCTTCTGACTCTTCACCCTTATCATAGGAATAAAGTAGATGTGCATAAAAGTTTTAGAGAAGTATTTATAGTAGGTTTATTTGTAACCCATAAATATCTATTAACAGATGAAGGATACACAGATATGCTCTGTCTTGTCACCCTCTGCCATGTTATGATGCAACATCAGTCTCTCACTAGATGCCAGGCTCCAGAACTGTGAGCTAAATCTCTATTATCTATAAATATACAAAATATTTGAAATGTACAAGATAACTGGGTGTGTGGCACATTCACACACCTATAATCCCAGCATGCAGGAGGCTGAGGCTGGAAGATCTCAAGTTCAAGGCCAACCTGGGCTCCATGGTGAGATTGTGTCTCAAAAAAAGAGAAATCAGTAATAAGTATTGGGGGAATTGGATTCCTGTTACATGATGGGGACAAAGAGAACTATGTTTGAAGCCTACTAGGTTTTTCCAGGCAATTTGTATGCCACCATACACATTCTGCATCTACTGCCGAGCTCTCACTTTGGAGGCTTGGGCCCCAGTAATTGGCAACCTTCCTGGCCACCAGAAAACTGTGGCAAGCTAACAAACTTGACTTCCAAGAACTCAAATTAAAGTTTGAGTAGCTGAACAAATGAAGAATACCATCCAGAAGGTAAGAGGAAAACAGAATGGATTATAGAAGTAGCTAGTTACCAACTCTGTCAGGGAAAAAACCCAACCATGATAAGGAATAAACTTCTCACAACTCCAGTGCTGAAGAAGACATAATAGATCACATTTTATTACTCATATTGAATCAAACATCAGGAACATCAGCACAGTTGTGCCAGCTCCCTGTGTCCCAAGTCTGAAGGAGAGATACAATGGGACCACAAGAAGGGTTGCATCATGGCAGAGGAACTTAAGAGGCAGACTATCTTAGTCTGTTTGTGCTGCTGTAACAAAGTATCTGAAATTAGGTAATTTATAAAGAACAGAAAATTATTTCTCATTGTCTGGAGGCAGTGAAGTCCAAGATCAAGACTCCAGAAAGTATGGTGTCTCATGAAAGCCAGGTCTCCACATCCAAGATGGCACCTTGTTGCTACATCATCCAGAGGAAGAATGTGTTCTCACTTGGCAGAAGGGATGGAAGGGGCAGAAAAAAGGCAAAGTCAAGTTTTTTACAAGGGTACCTAATCCCACATCAGTCACCCTATAAGGGGTTTCTTAATTATCTTGCATTGGAATTTAATTTTCACTTGGTGAAGTGGTATATACCTGGTGGTCCCAGCTACTTGTAAGGCTGAGGCTAAAGGGAGGCTTGCATGAGCTCAGGAATTAAGAGGTCCTCAGCCTGGCAACATAGTGAGACACTGTCTGAAAATTAATTCACCAAAAGAAACTCAGTTTCAACACAAATTTCAGAAGGGGACACCATCATTCGACCAGCACTGGCCTTGGGGTAAAATTCAGCTGAGTGGCTGAGCACTTGCCCAACATGCATGAGGCTCTGGGTTCCAACCAAGGCAACACAAAAAGAAAAAAATAAAATAAAGAAAAATGAAGAGTTTAGAACTACATTACATGGTAGCATGTTATTTTGAAACACTGACAGATTTGTTGAAGTCTAGGCAGGGGAAAATGAGGGTGTTTAAGTCAGAGAGTTTGCAACATAAAACGTGTGACATGAAATACTCTACCTTGCTACAAGTTGGCCCCAAATTTGGTCTTCTGAGTTTGCAAAAAACAAACTACACAAGTTAAACAGAAGCACGCTTACTCCTAGTATTAAGGCCAAAGAAAAATACCTGCTTTAGGTTCAGGATTTTTTTTTTCTTTCTTTGGAGGGAGGGAGGGGAGACAGACAGTTTTGTTTTGAGACAAACCTGGCCTTGAACTCTCAATCCTCCTGCCTCAGGCTCCAAAATGCTAGGATTACATCATTGTAGTAAAAACAAAAATTTCTTTAGATGCCTGTAGTATGTCTTTAAAAGTGAGCAGAAACAAACAACAACAAAAACTACAGCCCATGCCAGGCACGAGTGGCTCACACCTGTAATCCTAGCTACTTGGGAGGCTGAGATCAGGAAGATAGGCATTCTAGGCCAGCCTGGGCAAATAGTTCACGAGACTCAATCTCCAAAATAACCAGAGCAAAAACTAGACTGGAGGTGTGGCTCAAGTGGTAATGTACCAACCTACCTTCCAAGCAAAAAGCCCCAAGTTCAAACCCAGTACTGCCGACCACCCCCCCAAAAAAAAAACAGCCACTATGCTGGTTGGTCTGACAAAATGAAAGAAATGGTGAGATTAACTATTCTGTAGAAAAGTTTCCATAAATACTTCTCACAGTAAAAGTTTTCAGCCAACTGCTAGGCATGTTGGCAAAATTCTATAATCCCAGCACTCAGGGAATTTGAGGCCAACCTGGGCTACATAGTGAGAGCATGTTTCAATCCCTACCACGCCCCCAATTATTTTTTCTTTTTATGGCCAACTGGTATTTTTCCCATAAATACTTGAGAAGTCCACGTTTCTATTACATCCAGGACTTAAGTTCTCATATTTTCTCTATAGAGAAAACAAAGTGAAAGGCGGAAAGAGGAGGATGTAAAAGAGTCTGAGTTCTTATATCCAAAAATTCATTACTTAAGGAGTGAATAAACAAAAAAGTCATACTTTAAAAGAAAAAAATTAACACTTCAATGTGCAGGAAAGTCTATTCTTTATTCTTGCAGAATAAAAATAATTTCTTCATAAAAAGCATATAATCAGGTACCAGTGGTTCAGATCTATAATCTCAGCTACTTGGGAGGCTAAGATCAGGAGGATCATGGTTCCAGGCCAGCCAGGACAAACAGTTCGAGAGATGCCACCTCCAAAATAACTACAGCAAAATGGACTGGTGTACAACACCTGCTTTGCAAATGCAAGACCCTGAATTCAAACACCAGCTCCACAAAAAAAAGGCATGCAATAAAAATTAATTTTTCCAATAACACTATATTTTTATGGAAATAAAATATAGACTATATTTAAAAACAGTAACTAGGGGGTTGGGGATTTAGCTCAGCAGAAGAGTGCTTGTCTGGCAAGTGCAAGGCCCTGAGTTCGGTCCCCAGCACCGAAAAAAAAAAAAATAACTAGTACTGAGCAAAATTATATTTCATTGTTTGAAAAGAAAAGGACACAACAGATACTATAAAATAACTTTTATTTACATAATTTATACCTATGAACATAGCTGCTTTCTTTAGAACAAGAAATTTTACAAATGACAGATATTGCTTCTTTTGTCAAAGACTGCTTCAAGCAAGATAGTATTCATGGTCATTTCTATTTAATATGGTGGCAAAGAGTGTATATCAATATTTTCATCTGTGCATCTCTTATCAACAATTAGACTTTCAAAACCATCATGTTGATCACTTGCTACAGTGTAAGTGTTCAGGAGGAAAAGTTAAGAAAAGATAAAGACCTTTAATTGCATTTCTTTAAAGATTTCTAAAATGAATTTTTTATAACATCATCCTTACTTCATTCAGACTTAACATAGACCTTTCCACCTTGTAAGGTAAATACATTGATTTTCTTTTTCAAGATCTGTTTTAAAGATATAACAGTAGGAAAATTTGTGACTTGATTCTTTACACAGTGACTGCCCTGTGTTCTTTACATAGTAAGAAATTTTACCTTCCATAAAATTGGTTCATTGTAGATGAACAAGAGACAAGTGTTAACAAAGTTAAGAAATAAATACTATATAGGGATAAATAATAGTTTAGTCATGGCAATCTAACATCCCAACTAACACTAATTAAGAGAAAAACCTTTTCAGAATAGGAAAATTTTTTAAATGTACAAAAACAAGGTATGCAAATAGTAATGTGATTTACTACCATGATTTTCTGACATTAATTCACATGAAATAAATGCATGCCTATAGAGAATTTCCACTCAGATTTACACATCCTCCTTCATGACCAAAAAAAATGAAAAAAATTAAACCATAAATTTCACTATAAGGCAAAGAATAAAAACTGCTGTAGTTGCAAGTTTCCATAAATTGGCATCACTGTTATACTTGCAGAGCCATGTCCTCTCTTACTAAGCAACTTGAACACTAACCACCATTTTTTCAACATAAAAATACTAAAATTATCTAGAGTTAAAAATATTTTCCCAATTGAAATACTGATCATTTCATATGCATTCAACACAGTTTTAACTTTCAGGCACAACTCATAACTTCAATGACAAGTAACACAGATAGACATCAGCACCTTCAGGAAAGAAAACTACTTGTCAAACTAAAAGCAGAATCCAGCCATGGCCCTCATTCAAGTATGCTCTGGCTGCTTTCACATGAAACAGCAGGGCTGTGCACTGCAGACAGCATTTGACCTGCTATCCCCAAAATAGTTTGCAGTAAAAGTCTCCAACTCCTGAACTATTGTATCAGTCTAGGAAGTTTCTTCACTTAAAATCAGAATAAATCTGCTCTTTGACAAGTTATTTGGAATAAGGAAAGATTTGTTAGGGTCAATTTTATATATATAATATATATAATATATATGATGATTTATATAAATCTGTAAATCATCAAATCTCAAAATTAAAAATACTTAAATTCATATTGATGATAATCACTGACCTTATAAAGTCTCAGTATTTTCTGTTTTTAACATCTAAATTACATTCTGTGCTTAAAGACCTAAGTGTCCCTTGAGCAGAATTTAATGGGAAAAAAACTCTCACAAAAAAATTTATTTTCTAAAAAGGAGTGTGTGTGTGTGTGTGTGTGTGTGTGAATGAGATTGAGTTTTGCATGAAAATGTCTCATAAATTAAGTTTTTTCTTCCAATGAAAATCCTGAGATTTTACAAGAAATGAGAAAAAACAAACCTTCACAGTACAAAGTCAATAAACTAAACAATAAGAAAAAGAAGTATGCAAAATATATATACTACCCAAACATCTTAGTTGTTCATTTAAAATAGCTTTAAAAACTAAAGAGGAAAAGGAGACTAATATAAATTTGTTAATGCCTTCTTTACCCATAATCTGAGAGGTGAAAGTAACTAAAACTGAGTATTTTTAAATAAAAAATTTCAAAATAAATAAGCTCTTTGATGTGTCATCTTTATAAATAAGTTTAAGTACCACCTTTTCAGTTAGGAGTAATGTTACATCACCATGAATTAGAAAAATACATATTTTTTAGTCACACAAATAGCAGATAATAGGAAAGTTTTTAACTTTACCATACTAAAGTGGAATTTCACAACTTGCTTTCATATACTTAGAGGCAACTGAAAAGGCCTTTACCATCCCCCCATTCCTGGCCAAAAAAAAAAAACCTTTATAAAAAAAGTTCACTAAATACAATCAAGCTCCAAATATGTCAGCACTGTGATTTAGACAGACATTTACCCACAGCATTCCCAAATGTCCACATGTGCTCAGCACAGGAAGAGTCAGAATGTAAACAGGAGTTGCTATTTGTCTGAGAAAGCAGTCTTAATTTGCATGGTATTTCCAAAATGCTGAATCAATCAAAATGAACCTCAGCAATGTTTGCCACTGATTATAAAAGCTTCAAATGAAACTCATTAAATATTCAAAACTGACCTAAACAAAAATAGGCAGTGATGCGTTTTTCTAAATACTGCTTTGTTAATGTAATTCACTTTGGAAATCCCAAGCTTAAAAAAAAGAAAGAAAGAAAGAAAATAAATCCAAAAGACTGTTTCACTCTGTTTCATCCACTTCAATGAAGATATCACCAAAGAAATATTCAGAGACTGTGGTTGGCTCCTCTTCAGGTGCCCGTTTTTGGCCACTTTTATGTTTTTCTTTCAGGGACGGCGGCTCACTAGACACCTAAAAAGGAAATAAAAGTAAAACTGCAGCACAACATTTATACATTGCTAGTGAGAACTGGGGAGGTAGCTTAGTGGTACAGTGCTTGCCTAGTATGGACAAAATCCTGGGTTTGATCCCCAGCACCACAGGGGAAAAATAACAACAACAAAAAGTGAAATAATCCTAAATTTTACACAGTAAGATTTTTCAAGAATACAGTAACTTCTGTAGCATTAGTTATAATAATAAAATTGGAAGCAACATAAATATACAACATTAGATATGATTAGGTAAACTTTAGTGAATCTGTGATCCATGACTTAACCTTAATTCCATGAAAATTTTTTTCATAATATATAAAAATGAAATATTTTTAAATCTATAAGATTAAAACATTTTAATTAATGGTGTAAGAATAGAAAGACCCATAAAACGGAACAGTACTCAAAGGAAACAACAAATCAAAGAGACCTTATCAAAGATTAGCACACTTACAAATCTATAAAAAAAATTAAGATAGCCTCATATTGACACAGGAACAAACATTTACACAAATGAAACAGAAGACTAGAAATAATCCCAACACATACAGAAATTGAGTACCTGAAAAAAGTTAACATTGCAAAACAAAAATGAGAGAAGTTGAACATTCAATGATGTGGGACAACCGTATAACCTTCTCAGGGGGAAAAAACACTACTCAGACCTCTACTTCATCAAGGTAAATCCTACATGTATCAAAAGACTTAAACAACATTAAAACAACAGTAACAAAACCTACTATAATATGCCATAGTGAAATACTCATAATTCTGGAGCAGGAGAAGAGGGTATCTCTTCAAATGATGTGAAGTCAGAAGCCATAAAGAAAAAAAATGATAAATTCATCTCCACAAAAATAAAAAATGCCAGCATGGCAAAAGCCACCACACACAAAATCAAGACAAATGACTATGTGGGAAATTATAATAATATAATATAATATAATTAATATAATATAATAATAATAATAATATAACATAATATATAATTAATATAGTATGAACTTGTACAAATCAATATTAAAAAAACAAATAACCCAGGTGTTGTTTTTTTTTTGGGGCGGGGGGCCGGAGGGAGAGGAGAGCTTGAACTTAGGGCTACTCCGCCAGACCTTTTTTTTGTGTGTGATGGGTTTTTTCAAGATAGGGTCTCATAAACTATTTGCCCAGTAGCCCAGGTTTTTTAGAGTCAAACAATATGAACAGATATTTTTTACATAAATACAGCATGACTCCAACATGGAGGCATTCAACCTCACAGTAAGAGTATGGGCTCATAGCCAGGCACTGGTGACTTGCGCCTGTAATCCTAGGGAGACAGAGATCAGGAGGATCGAGGTTCAAAGCCAGATCCTGGTAAACAGTTCAGGAGACCATACTCTGAAAATACCTGACACACAAAAAAGGGCTAGAGTAGCAAAGCACCTGCCTAGCAAGGGGGATGCCCTAAATTCAAACCCCGGTACCAACCCACCCCCTAAAAAAAAAGTATGTGCTCATTAAATATACAAGGACTGTGAAAAGGGAAAGGAACTGATAACATACTAGTGTGAGAAAAAAGACCCACCCCATCCCTGTGAACTGCTGCTAGGAATAGAAAGTGATATAATCCCTATGGAAAATAATTAGGCAGAACCTATCAAAAGAAAAATCTTTCCTTTTGACAAAGCAAATCTATACACTTCTAGGTGTGTAGATAAATGTGCAAAATGACCCCTGTATAAGTCTATTATCATGCTGTACTGGGGATGGAACCCGGGGCCTCAAGCATTTCAAGGCAAGCACTCTACCAATGAGCTCCACCTCTAGCCCTATCATATGTTGATTCGAACATACGAAATAATTTAAGTTGTTTCTACAACTTAAACGCTAGGAATATGAGACTAGTATTACTACATGGTACAACCAAATAAGTAAATGTCGTATAGTCACTAAAACAATGAGGCTGGGTGTGGTTCACTGGTACAAGCCTGTAATCCCAGCACACAAGAGGTTCAGGCAGGATGATCTTGAGTTTGAGGCTAGCCTGAGCTACATAGTAAGACCATGTCTCAAAAACAACAATAAAACAACAAAAACACCAACAATGAGGATACTCTTGGAAATTTATCCCTGAAAAATGACAATTTATGTTCATATGAAGACCTACATGAATGTTTATAGCAGCTTTGGTCACAATAGCCAAAAACTGAAAACAACTGATGCCCTTCAAAGGTGAATGGATTAATAAAACTGTTGATACAACCACACCATGGAATACTACTAAGCAATAAAGAGCAACAAAGTAGTGGAAGCACAGGCAGGAGGCCAACCTGGGCTACATAATGAGACCATGTCTCAAAAAATAAAAACGAAACTAAACAAAAAAAGCAACAAACTACTGACACACAAAATCATCTAAATGAATACCTAGGAAAAGGTGTTAAATGAAAAATCGCCACTCTCAAGTGTATGGTTCCATTTACGAAACATTCTTGAAATGACAAACTTAATAATGAACAGGTTGCCTTAAGAAGTGGTGGAAGGAAATGGGTGCACGAATGAAAGGGCAGTAACAGAATCACTGTAGTGATCAAACTTCTCTGTATCTTGACTGGAGCAATGTCAATAACCTGGTTGCAATGTTGGAACATCATTTGTAAGATGACACCATTGGGGAAAACCAGACAAAAGGTTAGGTAGACTGTTTCCGTATGACTTCTTAAAACTGTATGTGAATCTATGATTACCTCAAAATCAGTTTAATTTAAATTAGGAGAAAGAAATAAAGCTATTTATTGCTTTCTAAAGATCTCTAAGACATTAAGAAAACAAAGCAAGATACAGAATGGGATATTATTTGCATAAAAAATAGGAAAAAAAATGTTTCTATTTGTATATATATAAAATCTCTCTAGAAAAGTCAACCAGAAGCTGATAGTACCACATACCTATGGAAAGGAGAAACTGGGAACATAAAAAATGGGAAACTTTTCAACAGTAAAAGTTTTTGTTTTTTTTTTTTTTGGGCAGCACTAAGGTTTTGAACTCAGGCTTCACTCTTGCTACATAGGTGCTCTACCACTTGAACCACTCCACCAGCCCTTTTTTGTATTGAGTATTTTCAAAATAGGGTCTCTAGAACTATTTACCTGGACTGACTTCAAACCGAGATCCTCCTAATCTCTGTCTCCCCAGTAGCTACGATTTTTGGCATGAAACACCAACAGCTGGCTTAATTAAGATACTTGCCTCATACTATATCAAAATCAATAACCATGAATAGAGAAATAAAAACTCATCTTTCTCTTTGGTCTCAGCGGCAGAAATGAGATGACAAAGGGCATGTCATCCTTTGGAAAGCATCATAATAAGACGCACACGTTGTGCGGCCACTGTGGTTCTAAGGCCTACCACCTTCAGAAGTCGACCTGTGGCAAATGTGGCTGTTCTGCCAAGTGCAAGAGAAAGTATATCTGCAGTGCCAAGGCTAAGAGATGAAATACTATAGGGACTGGTCGAACGAAGCACCTAAAAATTGTCTGCAGCAGATTCACACATGGATTCCATGAAGATACAACACCTAAACCCAAGAGGGAAGCTGTTGCAGCATCCAGTTCATCTTGAGAATTTCAGTAACTAATCACACAATAAATGTTCTGGTTTTGAAAACTAAAAACAAAAAAAAAAAGAACCTCATCTTTGTTGGGGAAACAGAGTCTTGCTGTATAACCCCAGGCTGACCTGGAACTAAAAATTCTCCTGCCTCAGCCTCCCAAGTGCTGGGCTTATAGGTGTGTACTACCTCACCTAGGTGAAGAAAAACTTCTTAATCATAAACTATAAATAAGTTTAAAAAAAAATAAAGGAAGTGGAAAAATTCCAGTAAATACATGAAATAAAAAGCCACTATTAACTAAGGAAATGTAAATTAAACCAATGAAACACCATTTTCACCCCTTTACCACTGTAGTTAATTAAAAAAAAAAAATTATCCTGAAGAAATACTAGCAAGGATATGATTAAACTGGCACTGCCACACTGCTAGTAACTATAATGACTATTTTATAAAATAATTTGGCAATAATAATCAAATCATAGACAGGGGTCCACAAAGTTTTTCCATCCTAGAACTTGTCATTAGATGGTTCAGGATACACAGAAGTGAAACAAATTCTATTTTATGGTTTCCTGAATTCTTATAGGTGTTAGTACATTTCTTGAAAGGCAAATAAAATGCAAACTACTTTATTTTTCTTTCACAAGTCAGAAGAGTCTTTGGACTAAAGAACTGGCAGTTAGGTAATCATTTATGGCTAGTTCAATGACTCTAAAATAAGCTAACTGCAACTTCCTAACCTAGCCCCTTATCTTCTTCCAGGGTAGAGGGTTTAATGGGAAGGAAATAGATAGAAGTTGCTCTGAAGCAATTTCTGACATCCAGATGAAAATAATCATGTTTCTTTAGCTATGTATGTGTCCAACTCATTTTATACAAACAATAAAATACAGTGGTTATCTTATTACCTGAGTTGCTGAACCGGCAGTATTCTGAGATTCAGTATTAGAAACACTTGGAGATGGAGGCCGATCAGAGAACTCTTGATTTTTTTTCTGGCTTTCATTAAGTGGATTAGATCTTTTCAAATTTCGTCTTGATACAGGTATAACAGGTTTTAGACGCTTCTTACTATGGACTTGAGTAGTTTCATCAGACTCCAAATTATTCTTTGAACATATTAAAGATAAAAATCCCAGAGGTCTTCTGCCAGGTCTAAAAATGCAAATGTGAAAGATATTCAAGGATATCTAGGAAGACACATTCTGTTTGTTTTCCTTGTTATGTTTAGTTGTTTTGCTGTTTTCAGACTAGTCTCACAGTGCAACCCAGGCTGGCCTTCAACTCTTATTCCTTCTGCCTCAGCATCCCCAGTGTTGGGATATTAAACATGCATTACCATCCATCCCTGGAGGGGGCGCTATGTTCTCACTCCCTCCCTTGTTACAGCAAGCGTTCTCTCTTGCTCCTGGTTATTACTGAACCTAACTGGGCATAACTGGGGGCAACTGGAGATTCAGAAAAGACACAGGATACACAGACAGACAGAAAGTGGGGTCAGGTGTGGTTGGGTGCTCAGGTGGAGACACCCAACCCTGACTGCTTCTTTTCTCTATCTTTATTCTTTAAGGCCTTACTCCTGCAATTCTTTAAAACCTTGCTTCTAAAATCTTTGAAACCTTGCTTAAAACCTCTTTCCTGAGACTCACTCTGTCCCATGTTTTTTCTTAGCTTATCTATAGCCTAATCTCTCAAAGTCTTTTGCCCCCAGACTTGCAGCTTTTCTTTAGCATTCTCTCTTTAGCTTTCTTAAAGCCTCATGCTCAGACTTGGAAAGTCTCGGTCCTCTATCTTGCATTGTCCCATGTTCTCTTTGGCTTTTCTTTAGTTTCTAAAGCCTATCTTGAAGTTCTTTCTTTGGCTTAGCTTTCTAAGGTCTATGTTAAAGTTCTTGGTGCAGACTTTGTACCAACTCCTCTTTAGTCATTCTTTTCCCTTCCAAAAGCTTCCCACACCAAAGAGTCTCAAGCCCACCTTCAGTGGGACAAACAGGGTGGAGCAGAGGCTCTGGGGGAAGGCAGTGACACTGTGTTGTTCTGCTTTTTCTGTTTTGTGGCCGGGGCTGTGCCCATCTCGGCCTACAGGTAAAAGCAAGTAAGCCACATCTCACCTGGCTCATGTCCAGTCTCACAGGCTTTTCATAATTCGCTCTCCACACAGCCCTAACAAGACACATTCTTAATTCCACCTTCATTAATGCTAAAATGGCACCTTCTATTAAGTATTGATGCCACTGTACCATGACATATTTGTGATAGGGTCAAAACTTACTCTTAGAGCAGTGCTTCCAAGCTTAAAAGTGCACATAAATCATCAGGTTCTGTTACTTAAAATTCATGTGTGGGTACTCAATGTGGCCTGAGTCCTACATTTCTAACAAGTTCTGAAATGATGTCCATGCTGATGGTCCCAGATCCACACTTCAAGTAGCAAATATCTGGAGTAGGGTTCAGCAAATGATGGTCCACAAGCCAAACGCAGCCCACCACACCTGACTGTGTAAATAAGATTACTTGAACAAAGACATGCATTTGTTTATGGCTGCTTTTGTGCTATAGCCATAGAGTTGAGTAACTGCAACAAAAACCACATGGCCCACAAAGTCTGAACATATTCTCTATGACCTTTAACAAAAAAAGTTCACTGTCCTCTAGTCTAGAACACTGCTTTTAAACTTTATGTAATTTAGATTACCAAAACAACAGATTAAATAAGCCCTTTTAAGATACATATTCTCTCCTCTTTGTGGAGGCTAGGGCATGTCTCGCCACCCTCCTCCCCCAACTCACCATGTTACAGTTTGAATGCTGTTGACAAGCTAGTAGTTATTGATAACCCACACTTCTAGAGCATGAGACAAAGAATGTGGGGAAAGTTGGCTTTGAAACTAAATTTCACTTACAGAAATAAAGGCATGGTTTACCTCCTTATTACACTTCAAGACAAGAAGATGACACATTATTTGGGAGTTCAATAAAACAAATTTCAGAGCTACCTCTGACATAAGTTCTGTATCTCATTTTATCAGCATGTATATAGCTCCGCATGGCAAAATGTGTAATGATCAGAATAGTTAACAGTGGACAAGGAGAAAAGAAAATGTCTAATATATTCTAAGGATTTTCTATATAAAAGTCAGAGTTTCAGCACTTAAAGCTAACCTTTCATCACATGGAATGTGTATTTATCTGGAACATTACTGTATTTCCTTTGCTTAACCGTCTTTCCTTTACATTACTAAAGAAGGGTATGTTTATAAAACACCAACCTCAGTACTGAACTAACTCTTATGTCTGTTCCATATAGGTTGCACTTATTCAGGAAGAGGGGACTGGGGAGGAGAAGGAGGACCACCCACTAAAGAGTTTCTCATGTTACCTGGATAGTGGGGTTTTTGAAGATGATGTTCTACTATCCACTTGTTCAGATTTAGAAAAAGCTTCAGTTCTTTCTTCTTTGTCAGACACAGCCATCTCATCCTGAGGCAACTGAGGCATGTTCTTTTCTATAGATGGATCTCTTATTTTATCAGGAGATCTAGATCCTACATTCTGCAAAGCTGATTCCAGTTGCTCTTTCTGAGGTGCTGGAGTTGCACGTGTGCTTCCTGAAGTGGGAAAAATGTCCTGTTCCTTAAAAGACTCCTCTTCAAAAAAAGACAGCAAATGGTAAGCATATACTGAAATTAATATTCAATTTAATTGCAATATTTGAAGGAAAAAAAACCCATTCTATTCTATAATGAACCTAGCCTTCTAAAAGGAAACTAAACCATAACTAGTGAAACTACTTAGACTATTAAGAACAAAGGATTAAAAGCTATAGAAAGAGCTTCTGTAAAATATATCACTATATGAAATGGTTACATTTCTATGTTTCCCAAAAATATTTCCTGAACTAGCAAAATGAAAAGTGATCATTTTCTAAAAATCTATGACTTCTAAAAATGCAGAAGTTAACCAACCCAAAATACAGGCATTAACTCTTGGGTATCTAAGGTCTTATGGAAAAAAAAAACCTACAGACATTTAAACACTCAAGTTTAACTAAAGAGTTCTCTTTCCTTAACTAAATACTAGACAAAGGCCTAAGTAGCAATTAATTATTAAGGGCAAAATAGTAAGAAATTTCTTATTAAATATTAAATCTTATTAAACAGCTTTTCCTAAGGTCTTATCCCTAGTGCTTATATTCCAGTTCCATGAAGGTAGGATGAAGTTATGTATATCTGCTTAAAAAATAAATTGATTGCTGGACAGGGCAGGGGTTGAGGGGAAGAGGCAATGGGGTGATCTAACCAATGTACAATATAAGCCTAACTGGAATTGTCACTATGAATCCCCCCTGTATAATGAATATATCCTAATAAAAAATTTTATAATGAAAAGTTTCTTGCCACCAAAAAATAAATAAATAAATTGATTAAAGATGGGCTATGTCATTAACACTTCAGTATGTTGTGACTTGTTCAATGCTTTTATTGGAGAGGAGGAAATGGGTGGCAGAAATTTTACCACATTCATTAGGACTAGGAACTGTAACCACATTACAGTTTCACAGTTAAAATTAGAGCAACTGAAATTAAGTCTATCACTATGACTATCACTTTAAGTATACAAAGAAGTAGACATGGGGGATTGAGAGCACAGCTCAGTGGTACAGTGGTTGTCTAGCATGCACAAGGCCTTGGGTTACATCCAAAGAATGAGCAAACAAACAAAATACCCCAAACCATCAAACCCTTCCATTCTGTAACTCTGAGATGCCACCATCAGTAACTTCTATTTCATTCTCAACAGCCACTGCCATGGTTAAGCAATGGCTACAGATGTTGGATAAGCCTAAGACACAGTAAGTTTGAAAAGAAAAAGGGAATAATATAAAATAAATGAAAGAGATTTATGAAATAATGAATAAATGTGCCTTAGTTACGAGAGCATTAGAGTCTGCATTTTTAAGATCCAAGAGCGACTTTAAATTCCAATAAAATATAGGAGACTCCAGGACTAGGGGCATAGTTCAAGTGGTAGGACACATGTCTAGTAAGAACAAGGCCCTAAGTTCAAACATGAGTGGGAGGGAGGGAGGGAGGAAGGAAGGAAGGAAGGAAGGAGAGTGCAAGAGCTTTTGAATTCCCACAGACAGCTGAAGCTAGTAAAGATCTCCGGTACTAAACAAATTACAGGTTAGGGTTCTATAAAGACAACTACCGTTATATTCAGCTTTTAATTCCTAAAAGGCAGTGACTAAGCTTTTACAGAACATCTTTGTAGCCATGTTTTTCCATTGATTGCAAGATGAAAGGAGCTTATTTTGGCTATAAATGTGTCATACCCAAGGTCTTGGGGGAGTAGTAATAAAAGTACATTCTTAGAGAAAAGTCAAGATATGTCAAAAATAATTAGGGGTACTTAGCAAAATGCAATCATGTTAAAATTACTTCACTCACCTGTTTCCTCAAAAACATTTAATTCCTTTGAACACATCTGTTTAAAAAAAATGCACAGAAAATTAAGAAGTCCATTTATTAAGTAAAATGAAAATTATTCTTCCCCTCTCCCCTCCTATCACTTTGTAAAGAAAGCATATATCTCTCAGAAAGCTCAGACACATAAGAATTCTACCAAACATTTATGGAAACGATATTGCTACTGTTATTTAAACTGCTCCAGAGCCCAGTGGGAGAGCCACCAACTTAACATCAGTAAAAATACATCAAATGAAATACAATTTTTATGTATAGGGTGCTAAAGATCAAACTTGGGGGCTTGTATGTGCTAAGCAGGCATCTGAACACTGAGGAGATCTCTAGTCCCTCAAGTGAAGTTACAAACAGCAAATCAATGGACTAATACATCTTGATCAAGTACTTTGTTTCAAGAATGCAAAGATGACTCATCAGTATGAAATCTAATCAGGAGGAAAATTGTTTCTATTTGTAGTAGTATTTAAAAAGGTGGTACTATTTGAAAAAGTTAGTAAAATGGTCTAAATACATTGTTTTTCTTCCTTTCTTTTTTTGAGATAAGCTGTCACTATATTGCACAGGTAGGACTCCAAGGGTCTTTCTGCCTCTGTACCCTGAGTGTCAGACCGACTAAATATCTAATCTAGCTATCCATCTGTATACAAAATTGAACTCAGGGCCTTTTGTCTTCAGTCTTTCTTGCTTCAGTTCTTTTTCAGATAGAGTCTTGCATTTTTGCTCAGGACAGACTTCAATTTCTATCCTCCTATATCAACCTCTCAAGTACCTTTGATTACAGGCATTAGCCACACAAGGCAAATGACCTTTTTTTTCCCCCTTTTTTCTTTTTTGGCAGTCCTGGTGTATGAGCTCAGGGCCTTGTGCTTCATAGGAAAACACTCTACCACTTTAATCCACATGGATGGGGGGAGAAGGAAAGGAAAGAAAAAGGGGAGGGGAGGGAAGGGATGGGAAGGTAATCATTTTCTGTTATTATCTAAGAATTATTGGTTTTCAACTTTCCTTTGAGAAACAGATTTTAAGTTGGCTTTCCGTAGTGCAGTTACAAATTATGAGCAGCATCATAAACAAAACAGTAACAAGAGGGTGCTAGGGAAACTATGGTAGTGCACAGTGATGTAATCTACATGACCTGGGCAGACTTCCCTGAGGCAGTGATGACTGAGCTAAATAAGTTTGTAGTGTTTCACCCAGAGGGAAAGCAAATGAAATGACTTGGAATGTGAAGTATTACACACATTCAAGGAATTGAAAGATAGTCAAAACAGCTAGAAAATGACACACAAAATGAGATCAGAAACAGAAATAAGCCAAACCTTAGAGGAGCTGGTTTTATTGCTAAAAGCAAAGAAAGCTTTACACATTATAACAATAATATTACTAGTATTTTACACATTAGAAAACTCACCAGAGAGGTGAGATATCTTGTCTACAGTTCCATAGCAGTCAGGCAGTACATCCAAATCTAGATCAACAGCATGCTTGGGGCCTATTTTCAGTCACTGGCACAGAGCTAACAGGAGGCTTCCTGAACTAGTTAAAAGTGATAATCCCAAACTGGCCTTATCTAGATTATTTGATAGGAAGTATCAGAAACGTACCAACATCATATACAAGCATGAAAATGTCACAATGAAACTCATTTTGTACACGCATATAAAGGTTTAAAGAATGAAAGAAAAAAATACAGAAAAATGTTTTGCAATATGGCTATTCACTTTCTTAATGATGCTATCTTACCTCAGAGGTATATTCTTGACAATCAGCACTTGGAGGGAGTAAACATTTTTTGGCAGGAGGAACATGGTCACTTTCATCAAGCCTGCAGTGAAGTCTCTTCCTAGATATAAGATCCAAATTATCAGGAGGCTTTTCAGAATCACCTCTTCCATAATTAGATAAACACATGGCATCTTGAACAACTGAAGCTACTGGCAAACTCACACTGCACAAAAAATAAATACATATAAAACTCACAAAAAAAATGTTTAATAAAATTAAAGGCAGAACTATTACTGTGAAAGTGCCAATAAAAACCAAAACTCAAAACTAATAAATTGATGGTCACTGCAATAAAAATGATAGGTCAAGGCACATTCATACTTAAGCACACAACTTATTGAATTCAATATAAAGTATACAATACAGTGCTTTCCTTCTCTATAAACTTTCAATCTAAAATGTCCCTTCCTAATATAAAAAGCTTCAATTTCTAATGTTACAATTAAGTGTTTTAACCAATGGCAGTTAAAACACAACGTAACACTTCTACAATAAAGAAATAATGAAAGTATCAATAATATATAAGAATGGGAGATAGTTTGGCACCAGTGACTCACACTTGTAATCCTGTAGCTATTTAGGAGGCAGAGATTAGGAGGATCACAGTTTCAAGCTAACTGGGGCAAATAATTTGAGAAACCCTATCTGGAAAATATCCGACACAAAAAAAAGATCTGGCAGAGTGGCTCACATAGTAGAGCACACGCCTACAAGCATGAGGCCCTGAGTAGAAAGCCCAGTACTGCGGAAAAAAAAAAAAAAAAAGAAGAAGGGGTTGGGGTGAGGGAAAAGGAGGTAATATGAACAAAGTACATCATATACATGTATGAAAATGTCATAATGAACAAACTCATTCTATTATAATAATCAACACACACTAATTTTTTAAAAGTGTTAAAAAGAAGAAACAAAAATGTTACATCTAGGAGGGACTGATAAAGCAATCCTATAATTCCAACTATTTATCCCAACTACTCGGAGGCAAAGGCAGGAAGGTCATGAGTTCAAAGCCACCCAGAAAAGGTACCATGAAGACTCTGTCTCAAAAACAACAGCTCAAGTAAGAGCAATTATCTAGCATGACCAGAATGCACAAGGTCCTGGGTTCGATCCCCGGCAACACACATACAAAACATACAAAAGTTATTTCTCTACATTATTTTTATATAACTTTCTGTGAATTATTCAGTTATATGTATACAACTCAAAAATATATATAAAGTATCCATATTTGTATAACCATACTTTCTGATCGAGGAATGTAAACTGTTTTAGCTTTTAAAATAATTTAACAAACCACTCCAGGACATATACCCAAAGCAATGTTAAGTCAGGATACAACAGAGACACTTGCACACCGATGTTTATTGCAGCATTGTTCACAATAGCCAAGCTATGGAAACAACCCAGATGCTACCCTACAACTGGTGAATGGATTAAGAAAATAAATATACATACACTGAAGTTTTATTCAGCCATAAGGAAGAAAGAAACTATATGGTTTGAAGGTAAATGGATGAATTTGAAGGACATAATGTTAAGTGAAATAAGCAAGATTCAGAAAGACAAAAGCCATGTGTTTTTACTTATTTGTGGAAGACAGACCCAAAAGATAAATATATACATGAAAATAAACATAACCACATACACATTTATATGTAGAACATACTCATAATAGTGGAACTACTATAAGGTACAAGGGGGAGGAGGAAAAATAAAAGAGAATGATAATCAACAATATCAAAATGCATTATATCTGTGCAGGCAGAGAACATAACAATATGTACTGAAAGCTGTTGAATAATGGGGAGTGGGAGAAAAGGGTAAGGGAAAGAAACAGAAAGGGTTGAACTGATCAAAGTAAAGCATACTCACAGCTGGGATACATTGAGAAACCTCTTTGGTTTCCTCGGTTTTTTTTTTTTTTTTTGGCTATACTGGGGTTTGAACTCATGCTTACTAGGCAGGCACTCTACCACCTGAGACACTCCATCAGCCCAAGAAACTGCTTTGAACACTGACTTTGGAATTAATAATAAAAGACGGGACTGTAAAATAGGTACAGTGTGTGAGGAGGTACTTGTGGGAGGGGTGAAGGTGAATAGAGATAAAAATGAGGAAATATGGTTGATGGGCTTCATATACATAAACAAAGTAAAACAATGAAACATCCTGCAATTGTTTTAAGTGAGCTATTATTGTGAAAGTGCCAATGAAACCCAAAACTCAGGGTTCTGGGCAGTGGGGAGATGGTGGGGCCAATCTAGCCAATGTACAATGTAAGGCTATTTGGAATTGGCACGATGAATCTCCCCTGTGCAATGAATATATGCTAATAAAAATGAAAAATAAGATAAATAAATAAAATAATGTATCAAGGGGCTAGGGTAAGGCTAAGGCACAGTGGTAGAGAGCTTGCCTAGCATACACAAGGTCCTTGGTTCGATCCCTTTATTGTCCCTAATAATAAAATAAAATAATATTATCAAACAAGTTTCAAACAAAAGTATACCACATATTTGAATGGCATCTTTATCAGATAGAAAATCAGCCACAACAAATTTCTTCTCTAAGTTGCCACATAATAAAATCTCAACAATTAAAAATAATGACAGTGAATGTCAGAGCACCCAATTATATGAAACGAATACTACTAGACATAAAGGGAGAGATAGGAACCAATACAATAATAGTGCATGCATGACTTCAACACACCACCCTCACAATAAATACATCATCTAGACAAAAAAAAAGAACTAAATTACACTCTAAATCAAATGGATTTAACAGACATCTATAGAACAGTTCATCCAACAGATACAGAAAACACATTTATTATATCAGCAAATGCAACTTTTTCCTTAATAGATCATGTTAGGTCATAAATCAAGTACAAGCACATTCATAAAAACTCAAATTCTTGCATATTATCAGATCATGATTGAATGCAAGAGAAACTACAGAAATTGAATAATACATGTCTGAATGAATGGTGAGTGGCTCATTGAAGAAATCAGAGGGATATTTTTAAAATTTCAGAATTAATGGAAATGGAAAAACAAAAATTACCAAAACCTGTGGGATACAGCAAAAGCAGTATGAAGAGGAAACTTTACAGCTTTAAGTGCCTACATTATAGCTCTACAGAGCTCTACAGAGATTTCTGAGAGATCTCAAACAAGTAACCTAAAGATACATCTCCGTCTTAGAAAACCAAGAAAAAAAAAATCCCCAGGCTCCAGTGGCTCATTGCTGTAATCCTAGCTACTAGGGAGGCTGAGATTGGGAAGATAATGGCTTGAGGCCAGCCAGGACAAATAGTTCACAAGACTCTATGCCCAAAATAACTAGAGCAAAACAGACTGGAGGTGTGGCTCAAGCATCAGAGTGCCTACTTTGCAAGTGCAAAGCCCTGAGTTCAAACCATACTCTCACCCAAAAAAAAGAAAAAGGAAACGAACTAAACTCAAAATTGACAGAAGGAAAGAAATAATAAAGATCAGGGTAGAAATAAATAAAATTGAGACTCAAAGCACAATAGAAAGAATTAATGAAACAAAGCTGATTCTTTGAAAAGAGTAACAAAAGATGAAAATTGAAAAAGATAAATAAAACTGGTAAAACTCTTAACTGACCAAAACAAAAAGAAAAATGACCCAACCAAATAGAGATAAAAAAAGGGCGATATTACAGCCAGGCATCGTGACACACGTCCATAACCCCAGCTCTCAGGAGGCAAAGGCAATAGGATCCTGGATTCAGGGCCAGCCTGAACTATACAGTGAGTTCCAGAACAGCCTAGACTACACAGTGAGACTCGTCTCCACAAACAGAAGGAAAACAAGAAAGAAAAGAGGAGAAAGAAGAAGAAAAGAAAAAGGTGACATTACAAGAGATGCCACTAAAATTCACAGGATCATTAGGGAATATTTTTAAAAACTACATGCCAATAAATTAAAAACTCTAGAAGAAATGGACAAATCTTTGGATATAAATGACCTACCAAAATTGAACCAAGAGAATATATTTTAAAAAAAAAACTAAATAGATCAATAAGAAGCAAGATTAAAGCAGTAACTAAAAGTCTCCCATCAAAGAAAAGATTAGAACCTTATGGATTCAAGAATCAGAATGTATGTTCTTCAAACTGTTCCACAAAATAGAAAGGGAAGGAACCCTTCCAAACTCATTGTAAGAAGCCAATATTGGAGCTGGTGGCATGGCTCGAGAGGTCGAGCACCTACCTAGCGAGTGAAAGGCCCTGAGTTTGAACATCAGAAGGTAAAGAAGACAGTATTGCCCAGAGAAACCAGATGAGAACACAAAAAGAAAGCTACTATACACCAATATCCTTGATGAACACAGATATAAAATACATGCTATTAAAATACTTATGAAGAAACAGTGATGCAGGTCCATAGCAGAGGAGACACAGAGGGATCTACAAAATTACACAAAAGCTTAGAGCAACTTCCTACCTACAAATAGCCTATAGTGAAGCTACAATTTAGCTCTGTTTCTCTATCAGTTATGTGCACAGTTAAAGCTCTGGGCAGTAACACAATACAGACGCCTACCTCAATTCTTCCCTAAACTTTTTGGAAAAACATAATCCAAAGTATTTATTTATATTTTATTTTCTACTACAACTTGTGACCGTTTAAGTGTTATACAGCAATAATACAGCTTCCATTCAATACACTACAAGATGAAATTTCCCAATAGTCAAGATAACTGTTTTATCTTCTTTTACCCCTTTTCACTGTCTCTTGCCTCCTTTATTTTATTCCTGAAGTTAGTACTTGTGAAATGAAAATGTTTTCATTTTCACTCCACTATTCTTACCAGTCTCTAACCCTTGCTGTATGTATTCAGGCAACTTGCTTATGCCAGAAAATAAAGCATTCTTAAAGTGGAAAAAAAAATTTTTAAACAAGTAAATAAAAGAATGCCTGCAAATCAAATTGAATGGCACAATGAAAAGATCATGCACCATGAGTAAACTGATTTCATTCCAGGGATGCAAGTATGGTTCAATAAAGGCAAATCAATAAATGTAATACATACAGCCCCATAAATACAATCAAGAATAAAAATCACATGATCAACGTCTGGGGATGTAGCTCAGTGGTACAGTACTTGCATAGCATATGCAAAGCCCTG